TGGGTATACGGTTTGCGTTCAATGTGCATGTATGTCTCTATCGATGTACATCTCTCTTTTTCTCTCTATCTCTCTCTCTCTCTCTCTCTCTCTCTCTCTCTACGCACATTTGTCTATACAATACGCATAGAGAGAGAGAGAGAGAGAGAGAGAAAGAGAGAGAGAGGGAGAAAGAAAGAGGAAGAGAGAGCAATTCTCAATCCGATGAAAGAACTCGCGTATCTTTTCAATGTACTTGGCACTATCTAACTACACTCTTATGTAAATTAGCGTTTTGTCCAAACGAGTTCTCTGTGCGTCGGTAAATATTATTATTTGAGCGGTTTTAATCTGAATCACGGGTTTAATGTTAGAGTCGCCAATGACAGGATTTTGAAAAAGAGAAAGAGAGAGAAATGCATGTGTCAACTCATTACCTTTTACGTGTTATCTCTAATCATTGAGAATTGATTGACGGAAAAAAATTATTTCACTCGGTTCGATGATCTCGGATGACCTCGTAAGACGTTTTCCTCCAAAAATTTCGTTTCTTCGTAAACCAATGGAAAGGTTTGAAGTAGCATAGAATTTGTCTATCTTCTATCTTTAAAGTACCACCTGTTACACTCGATATCTTATATTTAGTATTGATCGTGCATTAAACATTGACATTCTCTTCATTAAAATATACTGTGGTATACATTTGCTGAAGTTTTTGTACGAAAAGCGTTAAATATATATATCGTCGTTACAAATAAATAAAAGAAATTAAATGAAAATAAATAAACGTATGTAAATGAAATTCTTAGAAGAAATGTCGACTTTGCGTTGAGATGTTTCTCGCACGTAAGTCAAGCAACGTAATATCGATTATAAGTTCGATTACATGAAAATATAAGCGACACTAGAACGAAGAAAGATAAATCGTGGGCCGATCGTAAATAGATTCCGCTTCCTCTTTGCACAATCGTGAGCGCGCGAGCGCACGAACGGCGGTAACCGTGCATTATTTCTTTCATAACTATACCGATTAGACTCGTTTCGACGGATTCGCTGTTATCCGTCTGTTTCTATAGGATCTAATTTTATTTCGGCGACTACCAAGAGAATTACAAGAGAAATGAAATTTTGAAACGGAAAAAAGTGTAGGAGAAAGAAGGCAGAGAAAAAGAGAGAGGAAGAGAGAGAGATAGCATACGTCACAGTCGACGGAGCGGTCGCGAAAGGGAGAGCGTGAGAGACCAGGTGGAAAATGGTGATTCGAAATCAAGGAAAGGTGTGAGTCACTGATTTCGCTCGGTGTCACAATCCTGTGTGCCCCTTTGGTTAAGCAGTATGCTGCTTTTTCGTTTCCGCAAAAGAAACTCGAAAGTGAGCAAAAACCTCCTTCGCTTATGTTCGTTCGAAATTTAACAAAAATTAATCCCATTGCTAGGAAACAATATAGCCGTGATAAGCTTTCATCGTCGATGAAGCGAACCGATTTTTTTCCTTTCGCGGTCGAAGGATCCATCTCATTTTTTGTTTTTTGGGGCAGAGAAGCCCTTTTACTTGCGGTAAAGCACAGATCGAATCACGAAACGTATTCGTACGACGCATTTTTTGTGATGAAAGAGAAGGTGGAAGATATAGAGAGCGGATTGCGATGGAAGAGAGGAGAAGGAAGTAGGAGCGATCTCATTCGACGAAGAGAGACCGCGAAACGCGCGCCTATTCGGACTGGGGAAACGTAATTGGGCCCACAAAAAATGGAGCGGAAATGGCCGGGCCCCATTACCAACCCCGGTAACGAGTTCTCACTCTTTTTTCTCTCTCTAGGTTTTTCTGGACCTCTCTCTTTCTTTCAGCCTCTCTGTGGTTGCTCAATCCGTGGTGGTATTGGTTCGCGCTCGTGCGAGCACTCGAATCGCCTCACCTTTATCAGCATCGCCACGATTTGTGTTCTTTTTCATGACGAACGCGCTCAACCTACTCCTGTCTTTTTCCTCGATCGTAAACAAAAATTTGTATCATTGTCAAAACTAAATCTTCGTCGTTCGAATCAATTCGATCGAGACATAATATATTTTTGAAGATCTCTTCTTTCGAAGCTACTTTTTCTCTGTAATAAATATTTCACTGTACGATCGTTTCATTGATACTTTTTATCTTTCAATTAGAGAAATTAATTTATTATATGTACATCTTTGCATATGTATCTCTGCATATCTCATACATATCTTTACATATGTATTGTTTAAAGATATCTACTATCCTTTAGCTCTCCATTCGTCAAATATTTGTGCGAACGATTTAAAAAAATCAAAAAAGAAATAATATAGCTAGAAGCATACCCGTCATGAATTAAAATCGTATTGTCGTTGAAGAAAATTAATTCAAATATATAGATTTGCGATTAAGAATGAAATGTGATTATATAATGTTGCTGATCGAATGAGTTTTCACGTTTCAATGAAATCGTCGAGAGAAGGTGAAAGAGAAAATAGGGGAGAAATTGATGGGGACAATTACATTTTCAGCGAGGATACATCAGTACTTAGAAATGTTCTTTTTATATTTTATAATAACGCGTGGTATGTGCATCTCCGGATGCTCTTCCTTCCCTCGACAACCCTTCCGCCCTTGCATGCCTCGCACTTTAATTTTTAGCCTCGACATTTGCGTAACCCAGTTTCGCTATTGTTCGATTGAATGGAAGATCGTAACGTCCGCCATTCGAATAGGAGATTATAATGTTCGCTTATACACGGTACTCATAAAATTGCTCACGTAAGTTTGTGTGCATGCATGCGTGTGCGCGGACGTGTCAATGTACATATGACATTGTACATTCTTCTTTTTTTCTCTCTCTCTCTTTCTCTCTTTTAAGAATCAACATAATGGACTCTAATCAATCATTTGATTAGATTTTGTAATGTTTACATTATATACATTTTTGGACGATTTAGTAGTTTTTATTATTTCTTATGTGATCAGATTTTTCTGTTTGTTGCTTTATTTTATGGTTGTTAATTCTTTTTAGATTTCAATTATTTTTAAGCCACAAACGTAATTAAAAATACTGCTTAAATTACAAAAAAAAAGATGTTAATTGTTTTCTCAATTCCATTGATGAAATTACGCCATTAAGATGCCAATAAAAGGAAAAAAATAAACTTAAACGATTTTATAAGGAGAATGTGATAAACTTTCAAAGCCGTAGTTAAGAAGAGAATTCGAAGACGAGAAAATTTACAAATTTGCACCGACTACTTTCTCTTCTCTGTTTATTTTTTTCTTCTGACTTCACGAATTTCTTCATTGTCATACGTTTTCGCTTTCGTTATTTTTCGAACCAGTCTTCGGTTTCTTATTGCAACGCCAATGCTTGCCAAATTTTATTAACTTTTTAAATAATTTGTTCCCATCGTTTAAATTAAAAGAAAATAAATAAATTGCAATCTTTAGATATGTGAAAAGTAAGTCTTCGTTTTCGTCGGAAGAAATCAACATATGATAATAGAAATTTACACGAGCAACATAAAAAGAAAGAAAGAGCGAGAGAGAGAGAGAGAGAGAGAGAGAGAGAGAGAGAGAAAGAGAGAGAGATTACATAAGTATAAAAAAAATTAGAAAAACTTTTTCTTTCGTACCATACCAAGAAAAGCATTTGCCATTGATCGTCAAGGTAGAGACTCCAGGACGGTAAAAGTCATACTTAATCGATCGTTACCGACGCAGTGGTAGAATATGTGGCACGAAAACGCGATATAGTGGACAAGTGGGAGCGAGATAGAAGGAAAGACTCGTATCGATCGAACGATATCGAACTACCGCTTGGGAGCAGCACCGGCAGGGAAATAAACACCTTAAGCCGGTAAAAGTGGTGAGCTACTAACCCCACTAAGTAGCAATACGGGCACGAGACCCCGCCCGGTAAGTCTTCAAGGCCCAAATAGAAGAAGAGAGAAGAACGCAAACGGTTTTGAATGCACGCGCGTGCGCACGTTCGTGCGAGCGTTCGTAATACAGCCAGTCGGGCAGCGATTGACCCTGAACTTCGAGCTGTACTAGCCTACATCGCTAGCAAACAGGCAACGAGTCAAACAGCAGCGCCGACCGACCAATCATTTCCTTATTCAGCGATTTTCTTAGTAACTGCTTGTCGAGACATTACGTATGCGAATGGCTATGCAATGTCACCGTGTCGTACCGTCTCTTTCTTATCTCCGATTCTCTTATCCTTCTTTTCCCTTTCTTTCTTTTTTTTCCCCTCTCATGTTAATCATCTTGAATCATTGTAGACTAGACTGCTGCAACGAATATCCTTGAACGGGAGACATCTACCGTTTTGGATTTGCCAGAAGAAAGGCAATGAGAGAGAGAGAGAGAGAGAGAGAGAGAGAGAGAGAGAGATTATGGTTTGTGTGTAAATCAATTTTCTTCGTAAGGATGACGCTCGATTTTTTTGAGAATCCAAGCAGAATCCATCAGAATTGCTAATATTTTCTTTGCAAAACATGATCCCAATGACAAGTAGGATTTTCATCTCTTTTCTTTCTTTCCTTGATTGGATTTTTAAGTAGAGTATTTATACGTAAGATCAGGTCGATTATCAAACGCGCTTGGAATTGAAAGAGATAGTTAATTACGTGCAATTAGCATTTATCTTAGACCGATAGAAACCGATTGTAGAAGCGATAACTTAGCGCACTAGACATTTCGATGTAAAGAGGAAATTTAACGAAAGAGAGAGAGAGAAAGAGAGAGAGAAAGAGAGATTTCTAACGATACGTGACACGTAGTTCATTAATCATTTGGCTCGTTTGTGTCGTGCTAATTTCGCTATCACGTATACCAGACATATTTTTTATGAGCATCTATCTATGAACAAGCATTCATCTAATAGTAATGTTTCTCATAATCTCTAACAAATGTTGAGCCAGTATATCGTACAAATAATAAAAACTGTCAGGTAATTTGCATTCACGATTAATCGGCGATGACACGATAATATAAGACATGATTTCTTTTTTTTCCAGGCGATGAATACGGATGGTCTTTTAACACTGCATTATGGGAAGCATCCAGCAACCTTGGCCGCAGAGGTCGCGGCTTGGTACAGCGGAGACCGTCATGTAGACGTGACACTGGCTTGCGATGATGGTTCCGTCGTCAGGGCCCATCGTGTCGTCTTGGCAGCAGCCAGTCCGCTTTTGGCTAGTCTGTTACGTAATCCCGCCCTGGACCACGTGGTCCATCTTGCTGGAGTCAAGAAGACTCAGCTGAACCATCTTGTCGAATTTCTTTATAACGGAGAGGCTCTTATACCCGTAAGGATAATTAATAATAATACTGATATTGTAATATAATAATAATATTTTAATATTATATATGTAATATATATATACAATTTTATGTATTGCATAAAGTAAGATAATATAAGTATTCCTTTATAATCCCTCTGACACAGTACCACAATATAACCTTTATATATTTTCTATAGACCTTAACAATAGACTAAATACCAACATTTATAAATACTGACAATTTCGAAACTTAGCCGTTAAAATAAAATCTCCTAAAATCTTTTAAATTCCGAATTTTCTTGCAATATCTTTAATAAATGTGAATATCTGAAAAAATGAGTTTTGATTAATCCATTGACGTAACCTGTTTCAGTCGACAGAGCTTACGCCATTGAGAGAACTCTTCGAACTACTTCAAATCAAGTCGGAGCTCTTCGGGCCGAACCAATCTCAGACCTCTAGCAATTCCGATCCTGAAATGATACCTACCCCTCAACCCTCTGAGGATCAAGAAAGTTCTAGTTACGAATCGAAATACGACAGTAGGCAAGTTAAATTTGTCGATGCAGATAGACGATCATTGTGATAGAACGTCCTTGTTTCGGAACGTTATCAAAACGTTTCTACATTTCAGACAAACTAGTAATCCTGCTGATTGTTGTTCGGTACTGATTAAAACCGAGGACTGCGAAGAGGAACCTGAAGTAGACGTGGAAGGTGTCGAAGGTGAGGGCTTACTAATGGAAACAAGAGAAGGTAGCATAGAACCACCTAGAAGGAGGGATAGTTCGGATCCCGTAAACCTCAGTTTAAATTCCGGAGCGTCGACGATGAGCGAGAGTTCTCACGACATAGTACATAGGTAAATATTTTTATCTCTTTATAAGAGCTACATTAACTAAGACTTTAAATTATATGGAAGATTAAGGAAACTTTTTTTACGTTTTGTTTAGACCAGAAAAACAATTACTCGAAAGGCGAGAGTCTTTGGACGAAGTCGAAGAAAGGTCAAGGCAAATGGCGGCCAGATTGGCATTAGGTTTGGATCCTGGCAAACGAAAACCAGAAGAATTACCGATCACACCGGCTGAGGCGTATGTAGTGACGCCTCATCGAAAACGTAGGCCAGGCTTTCACAACGCGCCAGCGCAGAATCCAGCCTTCGTACCTTTTAATCCCAGTTTCGAGACACCAAGGAGGTTACAAGCCCCGCATTCTTTGAGTCTATCAGCGCCACCGTATCTGGTAAATATTATTTTTCTTTAGTAAATCATAATTTTTTAGTCATAAGCAATACGGACAAAGTGTTATTTTAAAATGGTGATTTGTAGCAGGACAGATCGATAACGCCACCAGGGGCATCGCAAAGGCCACCAAGTGCCGATCCAGCCTCGGCAGCTGGAGTAGAAACACCTTGGGCTGCTTGGACTCTACCTCCAGCTCGAGCACCCCCTCCACCTGCTACGGAGGATCCACCAAAGTCGGCCCCTGTTAGAGAATATCGATGTACCTATTGCGGTAAACAGTTCGGCATGTCCTGGAACTTGAAGACTCATCTTCGAGTACATACAGGCGAAAAACCATTTGCTTGTCGACTCTGCGTCGCCATGTTCAAGCAGAAAGCTCATCTGCTTAAACATCTCTGTTCCGTTCACAGAAGTGTAATAGCTGCACCAGACAATACCTTTACGTGTTGCTTCTGTTCGCTTCACTTTGAAAATTTACAAGAGCTCATAAGGCATCTATCAGGGCCGCATAATAATTTATTATTAAGTAAAAACCTACACGATTGCGAACGTTCTTGAATATATTTATTCGTCGGACTAAGTCTCTCTTTCTTTGACCTTTTTTGGTCATTTCTATTTTCTTACATTTAAAGTCGGATATATCATTTTCAATGTCCAGATCAGATATTTCTCAAATATCTCCGGATACATCTTTGATTTATCACCATCGTGGATATCAAAGTTATATATAATTAGATCTTTTTACTAAACGATTCCATTGTTCTTATTTGATATCTAGAGAAAGAGATTTTTGTGATCTGAAATCTTCGATTAACGCGGTATTACAAATCTCAATCTCTCAGCATACCTAGCTGTGATCTCTGCTACCAAGCTGCAAGTTTGATAAACGCGGACAATTGTCTGCAAGTGCCGTCTTTTCGCGAGCTAAACGTTCCTTTGCAATAATAAATGAAATATTTTTTTGACACTTTTATAAGCCAATTTTCGCGAAGACGCGGCATGAAGCATAGAAGAGCCTTTCCGATAAAAATAAAAAATATTCAGAAAACAGGGTCCTCATTTTTCGAATATTTTTTCTTCGTTTTTAGAATGTTCAAGAACGAAGAAGTGATAATCGTAAAAACTGCGTATTACAAATAAAGATTAATTGGCAAGTTGTTTTTCGAGATATATCGAGCTTTGATATAAGCTCGAGTTGTCGAATAGTATAATAATATCGAGGGGGAAAAAAAGAAAACAATATGGAAAAGAAGAAGAAAGAATCGGAGAAGGCTACGTTTCGATTTTTAATTAGGAAGGAAATAAATAAATAAATGAAGAAAGAAAGAAAGAAAGAAAGGTAGAAAAAAGGATAAATAATGTTAATAATAATAATAAAATAATAATAATAATGAATAATGTATAAATAAATCGTTTAAGCGTGCGACAGTCAATGCGAGAGACAAGACATTTCTTGTCTACCTTAGCGCTCGAAACAATCGCAAAAATATCTCCCCTCATGTGTTTTTTTTTCTTTTTTTGTACATAATGTTAAATAGGGAAAAAGGCCGTAAGTTAGCGCAGACTATCATTATTTATTTTACATTTTGTAAAGGGACCAACCGATTTTCCACCGATTTCTGTCTTAGGTAGATATTAGGTATATCCTGTCCGGCAATCGTCTCAGAACAAACTAGCTCGTAGGAAAACCGAACCGGTATACGTTTGAGCGTCACATATTGAGATTTTCGACGATCGTTTAATGAGGATGCGTAACATATAATAGATGTTATATAATAGATATATTGGATAACGAAAACTACCAGTCAAAATAATATGCTCTAGTTATCTCTTCTACTATTTCAATTTTCATTCCCTTTTTTCCTTCTTTATTGCTTTATTCTATAATATATTTTTTAACCCTTCTCTTGCTCTTCTTCCTACTAATAAATACCAATCCCTTTCCCTCTGTCATCTCAAGTAACGATCGTCGTTATATCTCAGTGACCTGGAGTGCCTTGCATCAAATGGGTCCAAATCGGTCGATCGGGCAGTGATTTCATGTGTTCATAGGCTTAAGACAAGTTACGCGTTTAAAATTCAATCAAGACGATTACACGAGAGCTCGCTTATAAAATAATGAAATATTACAAAGAAAACGATTTTAAATAGCGATGAATGATAATAATTATGATTACGATCATGATAATCATAATGATAATAATGATTATGGTGATTCTTAATTAACCGTAGAGAAGATTCTAATCATCACTCGGATTAATTCAATAACTTTTTCGTTATTATGTCTATAGTTTTTGTCGTTGTAAATAATAGCTTATTTTATTTTATTATCTTTATTAGATTTCTTTCACTTTTATTTTTGTTTTCTTCTTCTTCTTTGTTTTTATTCTTCATTGGCGCAGGACGTCATAAAATATTCTTTCTTTTCCCTCTGGTGTAGATCTATTTCTGTGACCTAAGGTGCCTTGAAGAAAAGGCCTCCGACCTCTCTTCGGCTTTTCCCGACAAGCACCTCGGTGATCATTGGTAATTGTGCAAGGAATTATGTACCTACTTGCTCTTTCTTTTCCTCTTTCTCGTCTGACGAAGAGTTAACAAAGGATTTTTATAAAAAGAGATTCTGTGAATTTCTTTTTTTTAAATAAATGATAAGGATAACATCAGTTTTTCTGCGTAGAAACAAATTCCTCGATCGTCTTTGTCGCCGAAAAGACAAAATTTTAATAATCTTGTATACATATCAACGCCAAAGATAGGATTGTAAATCATATAAGAAATTATTTCAATATCTACGACGAAAACGACGATACGGAACAAAGTTAAAATTGATAAATTTCTAATAAAAAAAAATAAAAAAAAAGACAAAAACATAAAGATATACGCGTAAATAATAATAGTAATAATCAATAAAATGATCTCCAGAAACGAATTGAATTGGAATAAGATTTAGATTACTGTATAAAAACCTTTATAACAAAATTCTTGGTTAATGTTGAATAGAGTAGAATGAACGAAGACCCAGCAGAGACACACGGGCAGACACACACGAAAGAAAAGTAAGGAGACGTTAGGGAACACACTAGTCCGTAATCCTAGTTATTCTTTGTTATGTTAACCGAGATTACTCGAGGTGAAATAGAAAGAAAATGAAAGAAAATGAAAGAAAATGAAAGAAAATGAAAGAAATGAAAGAAAATGAAAGAAATGAAAGAAAATGAAGCCTTTTTCCTTTTCTTTTTGCCGCTCTCTCGTAATTCGTATTGAGATGTTTGTAGACTCTTAGAAGTAACGAGGAATGGAACAGGACGAGAGAGAAACGAAATATTAGAGAGAGGTTAGAGGGGTGGTGCATGGACTCTCATTGAATCATCAAGCGTACGCGAATGGTCAACACAAAACGCGAATTAACGCAATGTGATACTAAATGATAATAAAAATAAAGATATAATTATTCTGTAGCATGCGACTGCTCGGGACACGTTTATTTCAGATGAACAAAATGTATAATAGGGAAAGAGAGAGTAAAACAGTCGCCTCGAATAGTATAAGCAGTTAACCTTTCTCGCCCTCACCTTGATTCCTCACCCTCTGATCCACGAACCTACCTTGCCTGATTATCCTTCAATTTTTCCATCATTTTCGAGTAGTACACGGACTAGGGTTACGTAATCAACATTATTTTAACGTTTAATTAATTATGCTTATTTTGTATGCGTGTATATTATACACACATACCCACGAAGCTGGGTGCTCAGATATTCCCTAAGAGCCAACAATGTATTGTCATTATACGTATGCGTAGAAATATTTACTTTCAAAGCGTCTTTCCTTCGATAATATTACATTTAATTTTTTTGTTCAACTAAAAATGCTCGAAGTTAATATTCTTGAGATTTGTATCTGCGAATTTCAAGAAGAAATCGTTGTAGACGATCGTGATTTTATTATTGTTGTTATATAGTGTCGAATCCGTCCTAAAAGAAACAGAAAAAAAGATCAGTACTTTTAATGTCTCTCACGGGTAATCTGAGCGAAGTTTCATAGTTATTAAGTATTTTCCGAGCGGTGAGCGTCCTCTGCGTGCTTTCTTAGTGTTCATAGTCTTACGATGAAATAAATTAATTTCAAAAAAGAAAAAAGTATGTAAAAATGAAAAGATAAAACAGAAGCGAGCAAAAAAATTCATTATTTCTTTTTTTTCTTCTTGGACTCTTGGGCTTTTACTTTCTTGACAATCCTTTTACTCGATATTTCTGATATTATAATCATTTTTTTTTTCAAAAACAGAAGACATTAGTCGCCAAATAAGAATTCTAAACGAAATGAAAGATAAGTAAAGTATAGGAAAGACAAGGAGCCAACGATGGTAAACTAACGGTTTAAAGAGTCTTGGACTTTAGAAGAAAAAAAAAAATAAAAGAAAGGAAACCCGTTATTGATTGGGCTACGTTCCAGTCGTCTAACCTACGTAGAGGAATTTAAAAGCATTCCATTGGTGGCTGTGTCGATTGCATAATTACGGGATGATAAATAAGATGCAGGTTTTCTCGTTTTGTAGGCTCCCCCGAGATCAGTTAGACTCCTGCCACCTACCAGTTTTCTTCGTGAACGTAAATATCCATGGATCATGTAAGGTCGAGGTTGCTGAAACCGGCTTCGTGAATGGTTGCAGGAAGAATAAGGCCTTATTGAACGCACACTTCGAGCTATAATTCTGCATTCTGTATCGCGTGTCGAGTCATACCTTCGGGCTTATGTTTTAAACGATTTCGATTCGATGGGCACGCTTTCTCTCTTCGACGATTCTTTAAATGACCCTTGGCAACGTCAACGCAAACCTGTTATTGCTTTCAATCATCGAGCAAACCGTTTTCATATCTTATTTTTTTATTATCGAAAGAAAATAATCAAACTAAAGTGTGGGGAGGGGGTGTTAGGTCGATGAATTATTAAATATTATCAATCATTTTTTAACAATGAACTTCAATAAAAGAAATCGTAACAAGATTAACAACAGGTGTACCAAGATTTATTAATTTTGTTGTTGACATCGCTAATTCTTACATTGGATACGTTTTTGTTTAACAATCAACTCATATTTCTGTTATAGTTAACTCCTTTCTTTTACTACCGTGACGGTAGTAAGGAATTAATAGATCGAACTAATCCGAATGGAATTAGAATAAATAACTTTCTTTAACACTAGATTTACGGAACTCGTCAAATTGACGGGTTTTAGATTTAATATTTAAAAATTCTTAACATGCAAATATTATTTTTTAAATATTACATATTGGTTTTTAGTTATATAATGCAGTGAATATATATTTCTAGTCATTTTTTCTGGAACACCTTTATTTTATTATTGCCAGATGTGGTATATCTCTTTTTACGAAATTCCGTCCATTAGATGGGTTATGTTATATAGATATACAACATCTGGAAATAATAAAAATGAAATAACAATGAATAAGAAAAAACAACACTGAACAAATGACGGCTATTTTCCAGTAAATACATGAACAAACAAGTTTAGACTTGTTGTCTATAGTTAGATCAAACCTTCTCATTTTTGAAGGTGAAACATCTCCTATTATTTTATAAAACAAGTAGATCAAAGTGAAAGATTAGAAGATAGAATTTACATGTAAAAAATGTATTGAAGACAACAGTAAATGAAAATCTATAGCTTTTTGATAAATAATTTATAATATAAAAAAAATATTGCATAGTAATATACCCGTCAAAAAGACAGATTTCAGTAAAACAAGATATACATGCAATGCCCGTAAATCTAGTGTTCATGAATAGGTTACATCGGGTAAAGTAATTTAATTTTGAAACATGTCAGACGCGTCTTTGGTAGCCAGCAGTCTTGTTGTTGATCGATAAGTCCGGCCAATGGCCTGGGCAGTCTACTTATGGAACAACTTAGAGATTCTACTCTCCATCGAACGGACATTGGCTTGTAATCATTGAAAAATAGAAATTTATGAAATCAAGTTAAGGTGGTGAGGAGCATGATACCAAAAAGTACCGTTGCCGGAGAAATTACATAATGGAGATTGGGTTTTTCGTTGGGAGTGTGTAGGCATCGTGGTACCTGGCTGATATTTATTGGTAAGAGGTCCGCATCGGCGTCATTGACCAACGTTCGTCTCTTCGGTTCTCTCCTATCGTTGACTGGTCAGAGTTTCTCGCAAAGAGTACCGTAAGAACTAAAGTCAATACGTTGGTAAGCGTTAAGAGGAGGGGGTATATGGACGCTCGGTCAACGCTCTTGCATTCTACCTTCTACTTCCTTAATGTATATAAAGAAGAAGCATCGTACGGATTTCAAGGCAAATACCAAGAGCAACATGTACGGTAAGGTGCTTTTGATTCTTACAACGACTCTGGCTGTGATCAGTGCCCAGATACCTACTCTAGGTTGGTGTCCTGAGTACGTCCCAATGGCGAACTTTGATATGAACAGGGTAAGTTAAACGATCTTTATTTTGCGCTCTAATTGGAAATTGCATTTGTTTGATTTTAACGATTATATCGTATTTTTATAGTTTTTGGGAACTTGGTACGAAGCGGAAAGATATTTCCAACTAGCTGAAGTGGTTTCACGTTGCGTCATGTCAAATTACACAAAAGGTCCTGATGGAAAACTTCGTGTAAGCAACGAAGTTACAAGCAGGATGTAAGTATTATTTGTTAAAAGAGTTTCGGAGATTGAATAAATATAATTATTATTTACTTATATATAGTACCGGAATCAAAAGAATATTGGAAGGTGAAATCAAACAAGCAGCATCAAAGGCAGAGGAAGGGAAATTGCATGTGAAATATACGGCCTTACCTTTAACTCCAGAGACGCATTATTCAGTGTTAGAAACTGATTATGATAATTATGCAGTGTTATGGAGCTGTTCTGGTATCGGTCCGATAAATGCCCAAAATGCTTGGGTAATGACCAGAGAGAGAAACGCACCTGGATCGATACTTCAAAAGGTACTCCTCCCTTTTTTAAAAACTAATATTTTACTGCAATAACTAAGAATTAAAATCTAATAAAAATTATTCTACGATGTGCATTAGGTTCGATCAGAATACAAAATATGAAGATCGTTTTAGAAATTCATAGAATAAGAAAATGAATATAATTATTTTAGGCTTATGGCGTTTTGGACAAATACAAAATTTCCAAAGCATTTTTCGTAAAGACGAATCAAGATGATTGCGTTTATCTAACACCGAGTACGGTTACCCTTGAAGATAGCACTTCAGCCAATGCGGAAAAGGAAGAATCCGATACAACTGAGGACCACGCGCGAAACGTACCTCTTTTACCCGATGACTCTTCTACCAAACCAGCCCAACACGTAGAAGAATCGATCGTTGAGGAGAAAATACTGCAAACAGTAGAAACCGTACCGCAGAAAATTCTCAAGATCGCGGAGTTAGCAAAAAAAGACGAAAAGCTATTCGAAAAGCCGACGAAGAATTCGGAGGATTTGGAAAAGAAATAAAATTTTTAAAAAGTCGACGACAAATTAAAAAAGAAACAAGAAATTCTGAAAATCCCGAAGGAATCATAAAAGACGAGCTTGTAAATAGTCTCATCGATCTTATTAATCTTGTTTACGAGAAGATCAGAGACGACAAAATTAAGAATTATTTTTTACGATACGGGATTGATTTGTAAACATTGAAACAAAATGGCGTCGGTTTCGTCTCGTTAATCAATATCGTTATTTATTATATAGGTAATCGAGCGTTGAAAGTTAGGTAAGTTAAATTCAAGGAACACTTATAAATGTAAGAAAAGTAAGAAAAATAAAAATCAAGTCAAATAAATTGTTATATAAAAATGTTTTCTCCAAAATCCACCGTAGAAATGTTTTATATTTTTTCTCTAATCCTCTATAGAAATTAGAGATTTCTTAAATGATTTATGGAATATTCAAAATACATTATACGCACTAGAATTCTCATTCGAATATTTTATTTTTTCTAACCTGATTAGACTTGACACTTATACAAGGTTACTCAAATATAAGATCAAATGCTTATAGATTTTTATTATTAAGTAAACGGATTTCGTATAAGAACGCGCACGCTTCGTAATATCGATACTATTTAATGTAAGAATAAAATCTCTAAAGATATTATATATATATATATATATATATATATATATATATATATATACATATATATATATATTTAATATATATGTTGTAATATGTATTGTAATATATATATATTGGGTTGGCAACTAAGTAATTGCCGATTTTTTCAATGCCGTTTTTGCACTCCATATTAATATTGAGGTAAAAAAAAAAACTTAAGAAAATATCTACGCAATGAACTTGTAAAGCTAGGTTAGGATGACAGCTAACATATATAAGAAGAAGAAGATCATAACATTTACGGATATCATAAAAATGAGAGTGAGAGACATCTATAACTGAAATCGACAATTACTTAGTTGCTAATCCAATATATATAAGAGGTGACTATTAAAAAACATGAAACACTTTTTGAATTATTTTATTATACAACGTAATGCATTTTATCTCTTCATAACTCTTATTATCTATCGTTAAAGAATAGAAAAAAAAGAAAACCTTGATTTTAAAATTCTTGTATGGTAGTTAGAATAAAAACAATTATAGAAAAATATTTCTTACCTTATGTAGCAATGGAACATTTTTCTAAAGATTATAAAATACATTGAAGTAAATATAATCTAAGGTAAAATTAAAAAGGTAAACATATTATGAAACAGAGTGCGTAAGCAGAGAAGATTATTACTCGGTCAACGGCTCAATAAAAAGTTATCAATCTTTATGCTTATTTCTCTTTTTCTTTCATCTATTTCTTTCTATAAGCTAATTGTAAATAATCAGAGATATTTGTTTGGATACTGGTCTTGAAACTTGGAATGACGTACATATATGTATACCGTTATTGACCCACTAACTGATAGAACTCTTTCGAACTCATCCGCTGTGTCATGCGACGAGGAAGAGTAGAAAGACCAGTTATTGTGGAACTCTTCGTCGCATCGGAAGTATCATATTCTTGTGCCCTACGACGAAATATTCTCCTGCCTGGGTCAACGACGTTTCTTATCTTATTGTCATTCGATCGGTGTCTTTTATTTCCTTCCACTATACTGTTTCTTTCTTTTTCTCTCCCTCTCTCTTTCTCTCTATATGTCTCTTTCTCTATTTGAATACCTCTTAAAGTCAAGGTTACTAGGTGAGTTTGTTCGTCTTTCTCTGGCACATGTGTTATTCTTATGAAACACTTTTCACTTATAGTATACCAAATATAATTTTTGTACATCTGTTTCGATAGTAAGAAAATAATCAAATTTTGTTTATTTTTACTTTTCATAGCCTGATGTTTTCGTTTAAGATATAACGTAATTATGTAAATAACGTTTTAACTATGAGTAACATGTTTTTTTTACACTGTGTACACGGGCGTGTACTTGTTTCTTTTTCAATCTTCAAACAATTATTATACCTACTTAAACAACTGGTCGAGTGGAATAGTATTGAGCTGACATTAAAAAGATAACATATGTATATATTATTGAAAAATTAGCATACATATTTGTTCTTATAAAAGTCAACGTTGTTATAATATTTTTTTAACACTATGTTCGAGTATTAGTACAAATGTGCTGTTTAATAGCTTATTTTATTAGATATTTATACATAATATGTATTTATTATTTATACCTACAGAGCTGATGAAATTCTTTTTTATTTGGTTTTCTTGCAAGATTTGTTATTATAACCTCGACAATGTTTATCAATGTTGTTACGTGATCATAGATAGTAATTATCTGTTAATGGAATTAATTGCATCGAGTATTGTTTGCTTGTCCATCATTAACGTTTTTTGCAGTACTTGATAAATCATATGATTTTTTGGAACAGAGAAATTTAATTAAAAGTAATTTGATGGAACAAGATAATGAACAAACAAATGATAAAGAAATTGTCTTTTCAGGAAAAATTATGCTACGATTTTTCGCCTTCTCAGTGATTTATCGAATGTCACTTATAATTTTTTTTTCATTTTGCCTAGACACAAATTCATTTTACGACCATTCACTTTCAAAAAGAAAAATCATTTTTTCCATCATTTCTATAAGATTCATCGATACCTTAAAATTAACTATTTCTTTTATATTATTTAACTTTGTTATAACATCATTTAAATAAAATTATTATGATATGATTAGCGACAATTTATCTTTCCTTAAGTCCACACACACACACACACACACACANCACACACACACACACACACACACACACACACACACACACACACACACACACACACACACACACACACGCGCGCGCGCGCGCGCGCGCGCGTTATTATTTTTATTATAATAGAGTAGAGAAAGTAAAGAAAACTTACTTATTTATTTACTTACATAACACTGCTTGTCTTTTCAACGTTTTATGTTATAATCAATAACGTTTCTAAACATCCTATTAATTTGTATTACAATAATAATTAATATTCAAGGAAGAATATACATTTATAAATTCACTTAATGGTTGGATATAATTGCTATTAATTATTACAGATATGTATTCGTCGGATAAAAAATTCTATCTAAAAAGGATCAGGTTTCCATCGAACAGACGTTTGGTCTAGCAATATTTACAAACACTTATCATAAAGAATTATTTAAATTAATCGTTAATTCCGCGTATGCGTTATTCTCAAGTTAATTTGACATTAATTATTTAAAGTTATTTTGTACGAATAAATAAATATAGAATGTAATTTTCGATATTTATTCGTTTACATTCGAATATTGCAAATGATTGTGACTGTAGATATATACCTATCTATCTTATTGTTTCGACGACAAAACTTATACATTATTAATGTGTTGACATTCGCGATTAATCAATTTTAATCATTTTCGTCGTTGTAGTTCATAGATAACGTATTCAGAAGCAAAGCCTAGTTTTCACACGTGAGGCTCTATCAGAGATATTTATTATAACAACATGTCAATATCGAAATAGAAAAATTTTACACCTTTTATCATTATACAATCATGCGCACTTATTCTTGCTAATGATACTGACGTATAAATAAGCGAGTTACTATTAAACATATGGTTAGTTTCAGTTCAAATTGGTTCGTGAACAGACCGAAGGTTCTACCGATCGTTACAACTGTTACAAAGCTACAATTTAGGCGGTAAGAAAATGTTGACTTTTTATGCTATTGAATCGTAGAGCCTTATTTTTTTTTTCAATCAGACAATGTAAAGAGTTAAGATTTTTTAAATGTCTAAAACTAAATTTTAGTTGAAAGGAAAAAGAAAACTTGGAAAGAAGTTTTAAGTTTTTTAAAGAATTTTTGTATTTTAGCTGACTTGATCATCGTCCCAATAATTTCATTTAATTTGGAAATTCTTTCTCTTTTTTCCCGTTACAGTAATGTTATCGTTATCAATAATTCTTGTTTTGGTGGGTATGGCGTTGGCCCAAATACCAGCTTTGGGCAGTTGTCCAGATGTCCAAATTCTTACCGACTTTGATGTAGGAAAGGTGAGTTCACGTTAGACGGTAATTCCAACCATAAATATTTGTCTTAGTTTCATTATTTCTTATCAAAGTTAATATTTTTTCTTCATTCCTTATTACTCTTAAGGACGATTAAAAAAAGTTGTTAATCGTGATAATTGTACTTTGTTCTTATAGTACAAATATTTTCTATCTTTTTATGTGATGCTTATAAAAAATGATTTAACAGTATATGGGAGTGTGGTACGAGATAGAAAAATATTTTACGGTGTTCGAGCTTGGTGGAAAGTGCGTGGAAGCTAATTACACGGCTAAAGATAACACCACAGTGAATGTAATAAATCGACAAATTTCTGCTATGTGAGTACGAAGTCGTTCTCAATTTTCAGAACGTAACATTATTCAAGTAATGTACGCATGAACATAAAACACGTTCTAATATTTTTTATTTTCCTATTAGAACCGGCGTCGCTATGTCGATCGAAGGATACGCAAGATTTCAGGGACTACCGAACGAATCAAAATTGATCGTAACTTTCCCATCTGTACCATTTGCGGGGGATGCTCCTTATTGGGTTCTAGGAACCGATTATAAAAACTATGCTGTCGTTTGGAGTTGTAGAAATTATGGAATATTTAAGTAAGTTTCATTACTTCTGTGCACTCTTTTAATAAAAAGAAATATTGCGGCAAACAATGCGTTCTTTTTGAAAATCAATTTTTGTTAAATTGGTAACAAATTTAATTCGTTCCTTTGCAGTGCTAAAATTGTTTGGATCTTGGCACGAGAACGCTCACCATCTGTAGCTATTATGAAGGACGCTTACCAAGTTCTTGACAGAAACAAAATAAGTAGAGCTTACTTCATACGCACGGATCAAAGGAATTGTACAGCGAATTATTAAAAAATTCGTTATTGCTTCTTTTGCAAATTTAGTTTAAGGATTTCATGATTGTTATGTATTTGATAGAAGTTGTTAAAGAAATTTTACGAAATTATTGTGATCATACAACCCTTTAGTTTTAAATACATACATTGGATTGGATAGAAAGTATCAGTGGAATTTGCCAATAGATAGTGCTAGCGTCGATATCTCGGTTGGTATGATTCTTATCGGGTTATACTACCCAGTGAACCCAAGACCTTAAAATGATGTCATACGTATGTCATAAAGTCATCTTCAAATTTTTTAAGTGAAAAGTGACTTTATTTATGACCTCAATATTAAGTCATATGTTCTGACAAAAAAATGACGTAATAATTTCATCATATTCTTACAGCAAAAAACGAAAGGTTGAATTTTTTTTTTTAAACTTCGTATTTTGAGACTATAAATTAAGTATATAATATTGTAAAATTGTTTAATTGCATTAATTTAATTTAAAAAAAAATTAATTAAAAATTTTTTTTAATTAAATAAAAAAAATAGGAAACTAACTCAGCTTACTCTGGGACTGGCGGGGATAATCGCAGATTTAGACAAAGTTGTTTTCTCGAAAATAAAAAAAAATGAAAAATGGTGAACTTCGAGAAAATAACGGTTTTTCTCAAAAAATACGAAAATTTCATGGATTTTGTAATTTTGAAATTTTTTTGTATTTTTTTTCTGAAAAGTAAATTTAAAGACAAATATTTTAAACAAAATGTTACAATAGGTTGAATTTTAAAGAAGTTATAGCCATTTCAAAGAAAAGAGCCATTTTTTTCAAAAATTAAAAATTTTTTTTGAGTTTGGTAAAAAAATTTGAAATAATTCTGAAAATTAATTTTCATAGGGTAGCACAGGATAAAAAACTTTCAGCCAAATCGAAAGGGGTCAGGGTCAAAAGTGACCGATTTAACGTGGAATGCCCCATATATATATATATATATATATATATATATATCATAAACTTTCATGTGTACTGATTTTTGCCTCTGAATATCTTTTGAACGCTTAATTTAACCGCCAAAACATAAGAAACCATTTTTATAGAACAGTAAATTTCCTACAAAAATTTGTATTGCGCTTCTCATAATAGTCATTTATTGTCGAGTTATAAAATTCATAAAAAAAAAAATGAAATTTGTCTAAGAATCATCAAATTTAAATCTTCAATATCATTCAAATGGTGAGGTTTACGGAAAAAATATAAGATATCTTTTTTGTAGAGCATTAAATTTTCTAAAAAATTCTTTCAGAACATTTTTCTGTACAATCAATTAATGATGAGGTATGAGTTTTATTCTATTGTACTGAGAAAAAAATAAAAAACTGCGATGTGGAGGATTTTCCTATTAAAATTAAGAGCTCATATTTTGTGAGAATTTTTTTAAGGTGTCTAGCAAACCCATTTTTCCGTAGCACTTGTAAAAAAAAAAAATAATTGATTTTTTTAACTCGCACTAATATATATATATTTAAAAAAACGGTGACGGTAAGTCACCTTATAAGTATATATTTTCAGTGCATTAAATAATTATGTTTAATGGTTATTGTACCACTGGTGGTACACGTGGCACGGAACGTGTTAATTATAATTTATATTATTAATTTATGTTATATTTTATTATTTAATACTATTTATTAATTATAATTAATAATATTGTTAATTATATATGGATTAGTAATATAATAGAAATTAGCACAAGCTCGCATGGCTCAGTGAGGCAAATCATCATCCAGTAGTAATGTCCATCCAGTAATCGTATGTTCCCGAGTTCAAGTCCCGGGGGTGAAAATAAATTATACGTCATATACTAGTAAGATATTTGGCAACAACTAGACATATGTATGACATTATTGCTTTTTTGTTCTTTTGTTTCGTCAGGTCAGCTTAACGTCATATTTATGACGTAAAAGTCTTACGTCAATAAGTGTGAAATAATGAGTCACATGTGACTCATATCTGACTTATATCTTACGTAAATCCTGACATAGCTCAAAATCATTTTGACGTCATTTTGATGTAATTGTGTTCACTGGGTATAGTCCAGTCAAAATAGCCCTAAAATCGGATTTTTGGCCTATACGGCTGAAAAAATATAGAAATAATAAAAAAAATGCGTACAAAACTGTGGGCATTTAAAAAAGTTCTCAACCACCGGAAAAGGGGTGAAAAAAATTAAAAACTACCCCAAAATACGATTTTTGGATTATATGTTGAAAATATCAAAAAAAGTTTTAATTAAAAGTTGTATAACATAAAATTTTAGGCATATCTCTCTCAGACCATTTTTCCCTTAAAACGCACCCTTTCACCCCTACGACGGTTCAAAGTACTAAAAAAATGAAAATTCAATAAAAAATATAAAAATTAGACTTTTAAAATTTTTTATTTTAATTATCTTTAAAAAACTACAAAGAACAATCATAGGAAAAAAAATTATTTTTTTTCATCCCTTCTAATAAAAATCAAGGGGTGAAAACGGTTTTTGCTCGATATTTCGCTTAAAACGGGTTATTAAAAAAATTTTCTTTTTCATATGAATTTTTAATTTATTTTTTAAATTTTGGTGTTGGATTTATATTTATAGATATTTACCTGTAGGAAATATCCCAATTTAAAGACAGGTAATTAGTCCCTTAGTCCTACGCCTTTGTAGAAAGAAACAGAAGATGAAGCTATCTTGCTCTTACTCATTGTGACATAGGTCGCCATGGCACGCATGCGCAAACTCTTAGCTTACATGCGTGCAAGGGAGATAGACAATCTATTGTCGGATTCGTCTCAATGAAAACAGTATAACGCGATAAAACACTTTTTCTTAAATATATTCTCTTTTTCTTATATATTCTCTATAGCTCGAGAGTCTCGCGCGCATCTGTGACAGCATGATAGATTTTTGAAAATATTAGGGGGACCGGAAAGTAATGTCGTTTTCTTACGCTAAATACAAACACATACATTTTTAACGAGTCTTTATTTTTAATCAATGATGTATTCCCCATCATTGTCAATAACCTTTTGCCATCTAGTGAGTAAATTTTCAATCCCTGATCGATAAAAATTAATTGGTTTTTCGGCAAAATATCTAGAGATGGCATTTTGGATATCATCCAAATTTGCAAATGTTTTGCCACTTAAAAAGTGTCGCAGCGCTCGGAATAAGTGGAAATCCGATGGAGCAACATCGGGCGAATATGGCGGATGAGGCAGCACCTCCCACCCCAATTCATTAATTTGTGGCGTCTCGCACCAGAGCAGTGCCGACATCTCTTGGCCAACAGCGCGCAGCTGTAGCAGCGCGCGCAGGGAAAGT